GTGGTCTTCCGTGCAAATATATGGTCTCTATAACACATTTGATGTTCAACACCATCAACATTGTATGCTGGTCACTCATTATCCAATTTCGCCAATGAATATATATATATATATATATATATACATGAGTCAACAATAGACCTAATTGGCGATCCCCGAATGATACGAATACCCGATTAATAATAGTTGAAAACAACTGTTTGCCCCTCTCCCCTGCCCGCTTTAATAGCCATGCGCGTGCGGATGGGCTTGTTCAAATCACTCAGTCGGGCATCAATTGTGTTGCGAAATGTTTATTGTGACATTCCTATGCAAACGCGTTGTTGGACATGGATAACGGAGAATGTGGGATGGCTGACTGTCAGTTCGACTTGCCCTGATGTGTTCTGGCTGTCTGGCTGTGTTTCGGTAGCGCAACGCCTGAATCCAACAGGGACNTTCGCCGCAGCTAATCCGGGCTGGAGGCCAACAGATGATGTGGAGACTAGGCATGAAGAAATGCACAGAGCTATTAGGTAGAGTAGGTGTCTCTCGCCTTCCAGGTTGGGGTCCGACAGACTCCACGACTAGTGGCTTGGAGACATCGAAAGATTTGGCAGCGAACGGACAGCAGTGGCGTTCTTGTTGTCGTTTCTTATCAGATCAGAATGCTTGAAACAGTATGTATGCACAGTTCGATTGCGTACTCTGTGTGTGGACCATAGAGGTTCACCTCCTTCCCCGTCCCTCAAAATAAGTCCAATCCCTATCCACCTTAAATTTTACCGCTAACCTTGTATGCATTGCGAGTTCTGCAGCGGTGATCAAGCTAACGAGGTAATTAAAGCTCTGTTCCAGTTCTGCCAATTATTCCTTGTTCGTGGCATTTCTGACGTTGAAATTCAGTCCTTTAATGAGGATTCGTTTTTCATCCTGTGTGATTACGCGATTGGAGATTGCGGACCCAGTTTTCATTTTCATCGATTAGCACATGATCATCCAACTTGTGGAGCTTTTTTGAGAGTGCTAGTTTTCTTTTTCTTTTGACATTTTTGACGCGTCGACTTATTGCATCTTCAAGCTGTTCCATTTGCCGTTCGTTCAGTATAGTTCGACAGTTCTTCTGTTCTTCTTGTATAACCTCCTTGTACTTGATAAGACGTCTGTGAGCCTCCGAGATCATCATGCGCACCATGCGTCTTCCGAAATCCTTCAGGCCTCCGGGTGATTGATCGGTGGTCTATGGTAGATTGCGCCGTAGTCATTTGTGAAGAAAAAATAGCTGCTCGTGAGTGGAGACTTCTCGGTCGGCAAAAACCTCCCATCAACGAGCTGCTTTTAGCGTTTTACGCCCGAAAAATGTTGAAAAAAGCTCTCTATCACTTCCAGCTGATCATCACAGTGGGTGAGTGCAGACACCGGCTGCTATCAATCTTGAACAAACACTGCACTTGGATGGTGCAGACGCATACCATACTTGGATACCTCCATCGATAAATGGGTTAAAGCGTGTTGGACCGTCTGTGTGTTGTAACCCAGCAAGGCGATGTAATAGGCATAGTCCAAGTCAAGAACTCTGTCCTCTGGGTGAAGCTCGACTCCACCGTTTGCTAGACCGGACAAAGCATTCTGTAGAACATCCTCTATGAAAAATATGAAGAAGAAATGGGGACATAGGGCAGTCTTGTCGCACTCCACTGGAGGCGGCAAAGGATGGCGAAAGTTGGTCATAGGCCCTAACCTGACCTGAGGTATGACGATACAACTATTTGAGGATCGACACACACTTCTCAGGTACTCCATTCCTTAATATTTTTTATCAGGCCAGAATACTTGAAATGGTATGTATGCAGAGTTCCATTGTCTACTGTGTGTTGATCATAAAGATCCACCGTACCCTCTTCCCTCAAAGTAGGTCCAATCCCTGTCCATCTTAAATTTTACCACCAGTCTTGTATGCATTACGAGTTTTGCAGCGTGCGGTGGAGTTCGCTACACTGTATTTTGCTGTAGAAAGATGATGACACTGGCCTACATTGGGTACATGAACAGATATGTCGAAAGAAACCAATACCTGACTACGTCATATTAAAAAAGATTTTCGAAAATAATTAAAGATGAAGAGAATTCCGATGAGCGTGAACAAATCAGCACCTCGTTATGCGTTTTCGGTAAACTTCATGAGAAAAACACTGACTGTACAGTGAATATGATAGAATGCAGGATGTCAGTCACCAGAAATACCTGTAAACTTTTCCAAAAGATAATTTAGTGATCGGCACAGTCGCAGTTGTTGGCTTGGTAACCATCATTACTTCTCCACCACCGAGCGGGGACACGCCACGTTTAACAATCTCCAGTTTCAGGCTGGCAGCAGCACTCGCACCAATGAGGCAACGGTAAATCGGTAGCCAAGCTTGTTTAATCATTTCGATTGAGGGATCTGTAAGACTGTTGGTCACTCCACGCAAACGAATTTCCAGTGGTTGTCGGCAAAACGGGCTGATCAAGAGAAGAAACTCCACATAGTAACCAATCCCCCTCTCGGTGCTACAGTCAAAATCCACTTTACCACCAGTCAATATGCCGGGTTTGAAAGTGACCGCGGTACCTGAGAATGTGTGAAAATAGTGAACAGAAGATCACTTACCAGTATCGTTGATTTTGGCCACAGTTCCGTTGGAAATTTCATCAATCAATTGTAACAGTGAAACCTCGGCATTGGTGACACCCGGTTGCATACTTCTATGACGGATATCAACTATTTCTATGCTTTTCATGCTTAGTAATGATAGAGCCAACTTGACTCGAAAGTTTTCCGGGCCAGAAAACCGGTGGAATTTCATGATGGCTTGATTTTTCCAGCTAGGAGAACGGAAAATTAATTCACATCAGATGAGCACGATGTGGTTTGT